GCAACAAATGTTGCAAAGTGTAAGTTGGGCTTTAGTCGAACCTCTCAATCTCTTTTAAAGACCTCTATATAGTATGATTTATACCTACATGTACCCTTAAAGTATACCTACCCAATCATATCACTGAAAGCATTTTAGGGTGATGTGGACAGAGTGAAATCAATCCTGCAAGATCTCAGTCAGTTTCCACCAACAACTAAAGTATGATCTACATGTATGTTATAAATAGACATTTGCTATTAATTTTGTTTCCAGTTTGAGCTCTGCTGTCAGGTCAATGGGCATATCTTATTAAATGATTATGAAACAGCTCTGTCTCTGGTCTCATCTGTTAATGAGGAAAAGAATCAATCTTTAATGATACCAGAGACTGTCTTAAAGGATTTTAATGATGTACTGGAGAAAGAAAATAAAAGAGAAGAGTTGCAAAGACTACAAGTGATTTTGCTTGAGTTTGTGAGTCTGTTTTTATTGTTGTTATTTTATTTGCAGGAGATTACTGAGTTATTGGAGAAGAATGGTAAAATCTCATTTAAAGTTGTGATGCAAAATCTAGAGCTTTATTATCATAGGCTTAACAACTCTATCAAGCAAGTTAGTGATAAGTCTGAATTCATATTTATTTAGTCAAACCTCTGAATCTCTTTAAAGACCTCTATGTAATACGATTTAAATATACCTATGTACAGTTGTACCCTTAAAAATATACCTACCTTTTAAAAAATTCATGCATCTACTTTTTATTGAACTGCCATAGTTTTGCTGTTCAGAGATTCAAATGCTTTGTATTACTTGATAAGCAAATCATATCACTAAAAGCATTTTAGGGTAATGTGGAAAGAGTGAAATCAATTTTGGAATATCTGAGTCAGCTTCCACCAAAGAATAAAGTATGATCTGCATTATAAATAGACGTTTGCTATTAATTTTGATTCCAGTTTAAGCTCTGCTGTAAGATCAATGGGCATATCTTATTGAAGGATTATGAAACAGCTCTGTCTCTGGTCTCATCTGTGAATGAGGAAAAGAATCAATTTTTAATGATTCCAGAGACTATCTTAAAGGCATTTAATGATGTACTGGAGAAAGAAGATAAAACAGAAGAGTTGCAAAGACTACAAGTAATTTTGCTTGAGTTTGTTTCTATTGTTGTTATTTTTATTTGCAGGAGATCACTGAGTTATTGGAGAAAAATGGTAAAATTTCACGAAAAGTTGAGAAGGAATCCGAATGATGAGATTTAGATTTAATGAGATATTATAGTAGCATTAAAAAGCTACAGGTTTAATGTAAATATTGTTAATAAATTCTTGTTTAATATTTGAGTTAAAACTTATATTATACAATTAAAATGTCTTTATTTTAACTTAATAAAATTAGTTGAGTGCAAAAATTGATTTAGTTGAATTAAAGTAGTCTAGTAGAGGTGTGTTGCGAAAATGGCGTCCAGCAATGAGGAAGATGATCTCCCAGTGATACAGCACTCCAGAGAGCAAAGGTGGGCGTTAGAAGGAGAGCCAGTTTGTATC